AATAAATAAATGTCAAGATAAAACATTTTAAATAAAAATATTCCAAAATGATAGTCCCACCATTATGTAAAAGATAGTTCTCCTTGGTCATCTGGTTTCAAAAGTGTAATGCAAGGTTAAGGCTTCTTTTAAAATAATGGGATATTATCTTCCTCGACTTCCCCTATGCTGGACTGGGATAGAACCCAGGACTTTCCACATCCTAGGGCAGCAGCCACAATCCCTGAGCCACATCCCAGCCTCTCACTGGGGGATTCTAGGCAGGTGCTCTACCACTGAGACACACCCAGCCCCTCACTGGGGGATTCTAGGCAGGTGCTCTACCACTGAGACAAGCCCCTAGCCTAAAATTTAGGATAACCTGGAGTAAGGGACATAGAAAACAATGGACAATGAAAGGAATAGCCTCAGATTGCCCATGTTTGAGAGACAGAACCTCGATTCTTGGGAGTCATGCAATGGCTGCTTTGGACACCCCCTGGGGCAGAACAACCTAGGAAGGCATTGGCTGGAGACTGTCCCTCTCATTCTGGAAAGATCTAAATCAGGACCTAGTGTCCCCAGAACAGAACTCCCCTGTTTAGAACCGCTTGTCCTATCCACCTCTCCATCTCCACAATGCCCTCAAGGACCTCCATTCTGGATGCTCCTTCCCTGTCAACCTCCAAAGTCCCAAACAGCGCCCTCCAGTGGATGATGTGGATGTTACTCCTCCAGGAGGACCACAGGATCTCAAACAGCATCCTCCAGTGGATGGCCCAGGCATGACAGGAGAACCCAAGCCAATCCTGGAGCACAGGTTACAATCTAGGGGTGCAGATTTTGTGGAAGCAATGGGGTCATCTTCCAAATCTGGATATTTTAGATGTGTTTCACACATGAGGTGACAGAGACAAAGGAAGATGTTATGGCATTTAGCAGATAGGAACCTTCCCCAAGAATACGTTCTCTCTTCTTTCTATTATTAAGACAGCTGGGGGCTGGAGACAGACAGCTCAGCTGTTAAGAGCACTGACTGCTCTTCCAAAGGTCCTGAGTTCAATTCCCAGCAACCACATGGTGGCTCACAGCCATCTATAATGAGACCTGCGCCCCCTTCTGGATTGTGGGCACACATGGAAGGAATGCTGTACACATAATAAATAAATAAATATTAAAAAATACTAATATTAAAGGTGTGTGTCACCACACCCAACTACAAAAAAAAAAAGAGCACTGATTGCTCTTCCTGAGGACCCGGATTCAATTCCCAGCACCCACATGGCAGCTCACAACTGTCTGTGTCCTCCAAGATCTGACACCTTCACACAGACATATACGCAGGCAAAACACCAATGCACATAAAATAAAAATAAGTTGTATAAAAAAAGACAGTCAAGAGCTGACAATTGGCTTAGTGGGTAAAGGGCTTGCCACCAAGACCTGCAATCTGCCTTCAGGACCCTGTGCTGGAAGGAGAGAGCTGACTTCCAACAAGTTATCTTCTGGTCTCTACCCATGCGTGCCACCACCGCCCAGCCTTGTAATAAATAAATAAAACGTGATTTAAATGTGTCACATTTTAGATCAGTCTAAACAAAGTCAACATATTTAGACCTCTTTCGTAGCAATTATGATCTTAGAATTACACTTTGACCTGTAGTATGGAAACTCAAGTATTTTGGCCAGTGGTGTGGAAAGGCAAGGACTGCGTGTCCATTTCCAGAAAATGACATTAAACGGAGCAGGAATGCTGTCCAGTGTTTCTCCGATCCCGTTTTGGGGAATCAGATGCCATGGCTGATGTGACAGCTGCCTCGTCACGCCACACGGTGGGAGTCCCTTGCTGAAGATAGTAAAGCAAGACACAGCGAAAGGGGCAGCAGGGTCCCTGTGGTAAAAGCAACTGGTCCCTGACGTCAAGCGCAGTGTGCCAGCCTCACGTGGCTGTCTCCAAAGCTTCTTTCTCAACTTCTTCTCCTCCTGCTCCTCTTTCTCCTTCATCCTTATTTATGGGGGGTAGGGTACATGCCACAGTGCCCACGTGGAGGTCAAAGGACACCTTTCAGGGAGTTGTTTCTCTTTTTCCACTTTGTATGCCCCAGGAGTGGAACTTAGGTTACAGTGTTGATGGCAAGCGCCCTGACTGCCTGGCCACCACCCGCCTTTTCCCTGCTCTTTCACTTACTTAGTCATCTAAGCTATTATGGGTTTAGCAATAGCCCTGAGGTGCACAGATAGCTTATTCCTGTCCCAGGTCTTTCCTTCCGTGAAACAAACTCGTAATTACAAAGATCAGATAATAAACTGCCCAACATCACTTGCTCTCGAACAAATTGAACAAGGAACAAGATACCATCACTAACAGGGCCCACTTTATGGGCTAAAAGTCCCTGAGCATCAAGACTAGACAAAACTGGGCTCGTTCGTTCCCCCCGCCCCGTTTCCCCATGGTTTTAATGATCTAGCATTATCACGCTCAGAAGCCGCTTCAGACTCTTTCTCTCCCACAGCGACAGGAACACACCCCCGCCCCTCTTTTCCAGAAAGAGCAGGAAACAGATAAGGAAGGGCTGAGCCCACCCGTCTTCCAGGCCAGAGTGGCAGCCTCTGGCGCCACCTGGCGATAGTGTCATCGAGTCAAGCACCGACTCGTCGCGGGTGAGCTGGCCTGCAGATGCGTTTCCCGGCATGCAGTGGCCAGGTTCTCCAGGGACAGGAGGGTTGGGAGGTGGGGGTGTCGTAGTTTGGAGAGATGGAAAGCGCACTTCTGGGCGGGGTTCGACTCAGCGCCGGTGTCCCCTGGGCCAACCTTCTTCAAGGCGGTGCGCCCTAGCTCCCAGGACCTAGGAGGTGACCGATGAGTGTCTGGGGCGCGAGGGACAGCGCGTGGCAGTCATAGCGAGCATGCGTGCGCGTGTCCTCCCACACACACACATCGCTCCACGCAGCGCCCCGCATCGCGTGCGCGCGCACGCACGTCCCCACGCTCGCGCGTGCAGGCCAGTCTCCCACGCAGCAGCGGCCGGCAGGCTCCAGGGACAGATGCCCCCACCCACCACGCGAGCCACTTGTCCCTCCCGCGTAGTGATCTCGTGTGGGCACAAAGCTGCACAATTTCCACCGTCACTCGGGTGCTGCTGATAGGGAGACTCCCTAGAAGGCAGGGCGTGTGGTCTGTAGGACTCGTGAGCAGGCTGGGGGCTCCAAGGCCTGGCCGCTCCCACCTGCTAACCACAGCGACCAATGAAAGCTTGGCCTGGTGATGTCATGGCCCGGCCGGACCCTTGTGATGACAGCCGGAGGTCATCGGTCAGGGGAATCAGCTCAAGCCCACCCTTGGGGGTTCCGGAAGTTTCCACGGCTGCAGCCGTGTGCAGTCTCGCCCTGCAGCCTTCTGCAGGCCACTGTGTGGTCTGCTTTCTCAACGGTCCCCGCGTCACCGCTCCTTATCCTCGGGGGTCTCCTCCTATGAGGAAGAGCCTGCGTTTCTCTGTCTGTTCCCACAGGTGTCCCTTCATCTCCAGAGATGCTCCACGTCATTTTCTTCTACCAGTGCCAGCCGAGGGGGTCCTCGGCCAGGATTTCACGTGTCGCTTCTCCTAAGCCACCCCCTTGCTATGTCGTGGTTACAGATGCTCAAGTAATAGGCCTCTGATCTTTCTGGATTAGGGCTATCATTATGTCCTTCCGTCCATGAAAGTCGGTCTGTCTGTGACTTGTCACCGCAGGAGACTGTCGCCTGCGTGAGCGGTGTCTGGTGTCTCCGCAGGCTGCGGTCCGTCTGTCTGTCACGTGGGTGTCTGACCCCTCGCTGCAGGTCTGCGGGTCTGTCGGTCTGTCTAACACTGGAGCGTGTCTGGGCCTCGCTCCCCGGGGTCCCGGGGCTTGAAGGGAGGGAGAAGGAGGGGAGGTGGCAGCCCGGGGGAGCGGGGAGGGGCGGGGGCGGGGGGTGGGGGGCGGCCGGGGGGGGGGGCGGGGAGGGGCGGGGGCGGGGGGTGGGGGGCGGCCGGGGGGGGGGGCGGGGAGGGGCGGGGGCGGGGGGTGGGGGGCGGCCGGGGGGGGGGGCGGGGAGGGGCGGGGGCGGAGACAGTGGGCGGGCGGGGGCGCCGTGCGGCCCGGAGGGGTGTGTGCGGGGGGCCGGAGGCGGCTGTCACTGTCGGCTCAGCCTGCGCCGGGGAACATTGGCCGCCTCCAGCTCCCGGCGCGGCCCGACCCGGCCCGGCTTAGCCGCCTCAGGTGAGTCTCCCAACCCACCCGGGACCCTCCACCGCCTGGGGACCAATCCGCATCCCAGGGGAACCGGGCGGTCCTGGAATGATCGGAGCCCCCCAAACAGATTCCACTGCACCTTCTGCCTCCCGGGGCCTGCCCAGAGGGCCCCCCCCACACTACCTCGCACTCCTCTGAAACTCCCGCTAGCCGCAGCATACTTATGGTGATGCTCTCCTGGCCGGTGGCTGCTTCTGCGCTCTCTTCCTGCAGGGACCCCCTGAAGCCCCATTCCCCACTCTCCTCCAAGTCTGGGGACATTGGAAGACGCCCACTGTTTGGGGCGGAGCCCAAACTGCGCAGGTTACTGACATCCCGACTGCACCACCCCCCATCCCGAAGGCCGCGACCCCAACGTCCCTACCCAGAGCCCCTTGCCAGCTCCAGGACCCCCTCCTGCAGAGATTCCGTCTCTATTTTTCTTTCTTTCTTTCTTTTTTTTTTCTTTTTTAAAGGGAGGCTCAGCGGAAGCCCCGAGTTATAATTAGCCCCACTCGGGTTTCCTGATTAATCTCCAGCAACGCCACTATCCCCAGATCCAGACGAACAGGGCTGGCTGGGTGATGGGTGAACGCCCGGAGGGGGTAGTTCCGACCCGGGGAATTTTGATCTCTTGGCTGGAGATGCCGGAACTACAACAGCTGTTGCCCCCAAAATAGCACCCCTGCCTTTGCAGCGGGGATCTCCGGAGCTCCGGAACACAGGCGTCCTGACTCGCCCTTCAGTCCCCTCTGCGATGCTCACGATCCTTCAGATCCCCCCCCCCACACCAAGGCTCGGGCAGGGAGCGCTGGCCTCCTCTTGGTCTCTGCTGCTCCCGGTTGGCAGCGGCAGGCACTGCAATATAGGGATCCATAGGGGCTTGAGTCCTGGGGAGCCCCTCAAGGGGCTGGTGAGCCAATTGGCTGGAGTCAGGAGAAAGGGGTGCGGCTGATGGGAAGCAAACGGGTACCAACCGGCTGTACCAGGAAGAAGATGAGGCGGCGCAGGGTGGGGCAAGGTGTGGACTGGACAGGATTTGGGATGCCTTCAGGACCTGGGACTCCCAATACGTTGAATGCCCAACCCAGTCCCTGAAGGCTTTGGCCAACCCAGGAGAGACTTGGGATGTGCTTTCTTACCAAAACTTGCAAGCTCCTGAAGGGCCCCACCCGGCTTCGAGGGCCCCGCCCCTGTCCTGAGGCCTGTACAAGAACTGAGGCCTTTCTGAACCCTGCTCTGTAAGCAAGGGGGTCTTCGGCCAAACCACAGAGGCAGGGGAAGGAGGTATGGGAGGCCTTGGGACTTGCTGGGCCGGGGAGAGTGTGTATTAGTGGGTCTTATCTCAGTCGGCTGCACTTGTTGTGGTATGGGTGTGTATGTGTGTCTGTTTGATCTTGTGTTCCCTCCGGTTTGTCTGCCTGCGTCTTGTCTCCGTGTTTGATTCCATTCCTCCCCTCCCCTTGCCAATCTGCCCCACCTCCTCTGCGACTCCTTGATAACCCTTGGGCAAAACTGTTACTTAATCTCCTTCCGAGCTGCCTTCTGTCTTCACCCTTTCCCTTTCTTTCTCCCAGCAGACATCCGCCTGTCATGGCAGTCATGAGGCCTTCCTGGTATCCCCTGCACACACCCTCCCTGACATCTCCCCTCCTCTTCCTCCTCCTCTCCCTCCTGGGAGGAGGGGCAGGGGCTGAGGGCCGGGAAGACCTACAGCTGCTGGTGAGGGTTCGAGGGGGCCAGCTGAGGGGCATTCGCCTGAAGGCCCCTGGGGGCCCAGTCGCAGCTTTTCTGGGCATCCCCTTTGCAGAGCCACCTGTGGGCTCACGTAGGTTTATGCCACCAGAGCCCAAGCGGCCCTGGTCAGGAGTGTTGGATGCTACCACCTTTCAAAATGTCTGCTACCAATATGTGGACACCCTGTACCCTGGGTTTGAGGGTACTGAGATGTGGAACCCCAACCGAGAGCTGAGTGAAGACTGCCTGTATCTTAATGTGTGGACACCATACCCCAGGCCTACTTCTCCCGCACCTGTCCTCATCTGGATCTATGGGGGTGGCTTCTACAGCGGAGCATCCTCCTTGGACGTGTATGATGGCCGTTTCCTGGCCCAGGTTGAGGGGACCGTATTGGTATCTATGAACTACCGAGTAGGAACCTTTGGCTTCTTGGCCCTGCCGGGCAGCAGAGAAGCCCCCGGCAACGTAGGCCTGCTGGATCAACGGCTTGCCTTGCAGTGGGTACAAGAAAATATTGCAGCCTTTGGGGGAAACCCGATGTCAGTGACTCTGTTCGGGGAGAGTGCGGGTGCAGCCTCGGTGGGCATGCACATTTTGTCCCCGCCCAGCCGCAGCCTCTTCCACAGGGCTGTCCTACAGAGTGGTACGCCCAACGGGCCCTGGGCCACCGTGAGTGCGGGAGAGGCCAGGCGCAGGGCCACACTGCTGGCCCGCCTAGTGGGCTGTCCCCCAGGTGGCGCTGGTGGCAACGACACAGAGCTGATAGCCTGCCTGCGGACGCGGCCAGCTCAGGACCTGGTGGACCACGAGTGGCATGTGCTGCCTCAAGAGAGTATCTTCCGATTTTCCTTCGTGCCTGTGGTGGACGGGGACTTCCTCAGTGACACGCCAGAGGCCCTCATCAATGCTGGAGATTTTCAAGACTTGCAGGTGACTAATGGTTGCCCGTAGTAATCTGGGTTTCATCCATTCCTCCCCTTCCTTCCCCAGAGCCCCAAGCATGAGGGCTTACTGCAGCCCCACTGTTAGAGGTCCGAGCTTGTGGGTCCCAAGGTCATTCCCTCCCTGAGGAGGGATTCAGATCCCGTAGTGGTTGCTGGGAAAAAAGAAAGGATGGGTATATTTTTTTCTTTCCTCCATGCCTTGTCCCTTCCCTGCTCTCTACTCTACGTAATTCTGACTCTGTGATGGTTCGTCCCTCTGGCTACTTGTTTGTTCATCTGTTTCTGTCTGCCTGTCTATCATCTCTCCATCCTTCTCCCCATCTCCAACAATCCTCAGGTGCTGGTGGGTGTGGTGAAGGACGAGGGCTCCTACTTTCTGGTTTACGGGGTCCCAGGCTTCAGCAAAGACAATGAATCTCTCATCAGCCGGGCCCAGTTCCTGGCTGGGGTGCGGATCGGTGTACCCCAAGCAAGTGACCTGGCGGCCGAGGCTGTGGTCCTACATTATACAGACTGGCTGCACCCTGAGGACCCTGCCCACCTGAGGGATGCCATGAGTGCAGTGGTGGGCGACCACAACGTTGTGTGCCCCGTGGCCCAGCTGGCTGGGCGACTGGCTGCCCAAGGGGCCCGGGTCTATGCCTACGTCTTTGAACACCGTGCCTCCACATTGACTTGGCCCCTCTGGATGGGGGTGCCCCATGGCTATGAAATCGAGTTCATCTTTGGGCTCCCCCTGGACCCCTCGCTGAACTACACCATGGAGGAGAGAATCTTTGCTCAGCGACTTATGAAATACTGGACCAATTTTGCCCGCACAGGGTCAGTGATATTGGAGTGGAGATGGCCTCTGGGGATCCAGGGAAGATGGGTGCTTATGGCTGATAGTGGAAGAAGAGAAATACCCACAAAGGAAAGGGGATGCGGGAACAAGGCAGGCAGAAGGGGGAGTCCTTAAGAGACAGAGCCGGATACTTTTTATCCCAGCACTCAGGAGATAGAGCCCAGTCCGCTCTATATACCCAGGCTACATGGAACTACATAGGAAGCCTTGGTGGGGGAGGGGTTGGGGCGAGTGCTGGAAGTACGGCTCTGGTAGAAGGCTAAGGACACAAATATATAGGAGGCCATCCCCAGCACTGCAAGAGATAGCGAGGTGACTGGCAAGATGGCTCAAAACAGGTAAAAGGGATCGCTGTGCAGGCCTGACTACCTGAGCTGGATCCCTGGAGCTCACATAAGCGTGGAAGGAGAAAACTCGAAACATTTATCTCTGACTTCCACCTCTCTCTCTCTCTCTCTCTCTCTCTCTCTCTCTCTCTCTCTCTCTCTCTCTCTCACACACACACACACACACACACACACACACGTTCATCATCACAATTTAAAAAAAAATGATTAAAGACAGAGAAAGGCAATAGAGGGCTGGGGCACCTCAGTTGGTAAAGTACTTACTTGCCTAGCAGGCACAAACCCTTGAGGGCACCAGATATTCTGTTACCCATGTTTTAGAGACAGGACTGCACCTACCTACGCCCAACTAGGATTTTTTTTTTTAATAGAAGGGGGAAAATAAAAATTGAACAAAGAAAACAAAGGGAAGTGGAGAAAAACAGAAGTCCGGAGGAAAAACACCCTTTGTCGTCCCTGCGCTCAGGGAAACTGAGGCAGAAGCATTGCCAAATTGAGTTACACAGTGACACGCGCGCGACGAACACACACAGATGAGATGGCCAGATGGCTGGAGGAGTAGGGAGGAGAGGATGGGTGTCCCCTGGAGTTGAAGAGGGTTCAGAGTCAGGAAGAGGACCAACGACATCATTCCTTATCCCTCTGGGCAGGCTGAGATTTCCCCTTCCTTCCGCAGGGACCCCAATGACCCTCGAGACTCCAAGACCCCACAGTGGCCACCGTACACCACTGGAGCGCAGCAATACGTGAGCCTGAACCTGAGGCCCTTGGAGGTGCGGCGGGGGCTACGCGCCCAGACCTGCGCCTTCTGGAATCGCTTTCTCCCCAAATTGCTCAGCGCCACTGGTAGGCGCGGGGTGGGGGTGAAGGGCAGGGAACTAATGAGGCGGCAAGGGTTGGAAGGAGGGGAGAGCAAAGGGATGCAAAGACAGGGTGTAATCCCCTCTCTTCTCCACCTCCCCCAGCCATGGAGGCTCCCTGCACCTGCCCAAGCCCCGTCCATGGGGAGGCTGCCCCGAGGCCCAGGCCCGACTTATTCCTGCCCTTTCTCCTTCTCTTCCTTTTCCTCCTCCACTCCCGGCTTCCGTGGCTGTGACTACAGCCTCTTCTCTCCTCTGGCCTCAGAGGACACTTACTCTAGTATGTGGCTGGAAGGAAAGGAGGGGCCCCTTCTAGGGATACAGCACCCCACTCCCTTCTCAAGCCGAGACAAACTGGACAAAGTCAGTTTAAGCGAAAATCCAAAAACCAGTTTTCTTTTTTTAATTTAAAATTATCACCTGGAAATTGAGCCTGATGTCGAGGGAAGGACCCGGGGATAGACAGCGTCAGTCGACGGGGCTTATAACCGCCAACCATTTCTGTGTCTTCTCTCTTTTCCCCAACCCATGGACCCTCCTCCCATTCTGGTCCTGTCCCTCCCCTCCATCTTCCGACCATTTCTCTCCACCCGCGTTCCTGCCACCCTCCACCTCTACTCTTGTCCTCCGCATCATCCACTGTTCGCTTCCCACCACTCCCTTCGGCCTCCTGCGTGGCGTGCACGGCGGCGCACTCACGCCCCCTCTTGCTGCCCCACCCGCTCGTTTCCTTCTACTCTTGCGGGGCGCCCCGGCCGCAGACACGCTGGACGAGGCAGAGCGCCAGTGGAAGGCCGAGTTCCACCGCTGGAGCTCCTACATGGTGCACTGGAAGAACCAGTTCGACCACTACAGCAAGCAGGAGCGTTGCTCAGACCTGTGACCCTGGAGGGACCCTCAGGTCTCGCCGCCCTGCCCGAGCCCCTAGCTGTATATATACTATTTATTTAAGGGCTGGGATATAATACAACCAAGCCCCAGACCCTATCCACCCCATCCCGACTCCCCCCCCACACCAGGGGCTCCCCTTCTTCTGCATGTCTGGGACCGAGCTCCCATCCCCGCGGTGCCTTCGCCCCTCCGGGCCGCCAATAAACTGTTACAGCCACTAGTTTGTGCGACTGGCGGGAAGTTGGGGCGGGGACCGAGTCAGTGCTGGAAACAGAAGCCTCAGGATTGGCGAACATCGTTGCACCTTGCCTGCAGGATCCGGCGGAAGCAAGTTCTGGACCCACCCGTTGGGGCGGAGCTTGCGACTGCGCAGCAAGGCTGCTCGTCCGCGCCTTTTAGAAGGCTCCGATATCGGTGTCTACTTGTCCTTCGTGCTTCGGTTTGGTGAGGGTTCCTCGGTTCCGCGCGCTCACCCTGCCCACAGCTAGCTCCAGAAAAGACCGGGAACCCGTAATTCGCCCCGCCTCGGCTGACACCTTTCTGAGCGCCCTGGAGCTGCTGAAGGACGTGCACCTGGGCCTGGCTCTACCCTGCCACGGTCCCGCCCGACTGGCCCTCCTCTCGGGCCACTACCTTTACTATCACTACGGCTGCGATGGACTGGATGACCGCGGCTGGGGATGTGGCTACCGCACGCTGCAGACACTGTGCTCTTGGCCAGAGGGCCAGTCTTCCAGCGTGCCTGGGCTGGCAGCCATACAGGCTGCCCTGGAGGACATGGGCGATAAGCCCCCCGGGTTCCGGGACTCTCGGGACTGGATTGGCTGTGTAGAGGCCAGTCTCTGCCTGGAACACTTTGGAGGACTTCAGGGGCGCCTATGCCACGTGCCCCGTGGAGCCGGACTTCTGGGAGAACTGGAGCGGCTTTATTCCCATTTCATGGAGGGCGGCGGCCCAGTAATGGTGGGAGGGGATGCAGATGCTCAGTCTAAAGCCTTGCTGGGAATCTGTGAGGGGCCAGGTCCGGAAACCTATATACTGATACTGGACCCACACTACTGGGGCACTCCGAAGAACAGTAGCGAACTGCAAGCTGCTGGGTGGGTGGGATGGCAAAAGGTAAGCAGTGTCTTTGATTCCAATTCCTTTTACAACCTGTGCTTGACCAGACGTACCTGAATCGACCCACCCTGCCTGCACTGTGGGACAGGCTCCAGAACAGACTGCTCACTGGTCTCTTCCACCACCAAAACTCTGCGTCCAAAGCCAGCCTGGCCTACCCAGCAAGTTCTAGCTAGCCAGGGTTAGAGGGACACTTGTCAAAAACAGTAATAAACTGGCACAGTTCAGCTGACTCTGGTCCTGCCTGTGTTTGGGAAAGGTGTACATGAGACACTAGCAAAGTGCTTTTTACTAGCAGGAAAAACAACGTACAAAAAAATTCTCAGCTGATGGGACGAAGTGGTCATGGGTAGTAGATGGTCGTCGATGTAGAGTGAGGGGCTCAAAAGAAATCAACGTCATCTGGGGCGTCCAGGTCCCTATACTCCACTATGGCCCTCGGGTCTCCTCGAACCATCCTGTGAAATACAGGAGTGTGGGGTGAACAGAAGCCCCTGGTCAGAGGAGGGGAAGGAGCGTGGGCCTGACCATTCCTGCTCACCTGTTCCGAGGTTTCCCAGGGTATCCTCCTTGGCCTCGAAAAGCATCATAGTTCCCGCGACCGGCGCCATACGGAGCATGGGGGTATGGAGGCCCTCCTGTTGGGACTGCAGGGCGGACAGCACCAGCTATGACAAAGACCCAGGTTGAACTAAAAACTGACCTCAACCTCAGCCTAGCTAAGCTCTGGAACCCTCCTCAAGCACCAAGCCCCTGCATTGCCCTTCCAGACTCACCTCCATAGCCCAAGATGGGAGGCCGGGGCTGACCATATGGCATCAAGCCCTGTGGCGTCTGGTGCGGATAGGGAAGTCCTGGAGTCAGGCCTGGGGGGAGTACAACATGGACAGGAACATGAATTACTGCGGGGGAGGAAAGGAGATGACAAGGATTCTAGGAATAGGGCCGGGAGGTTAGTGGGGGTACACTTCTCAAGGAGTAAGGAATCAGGTGTGGCAGTCCCCCATGGATCGTATCTTACTCTGGGCAGGGCCAGGTGGCTGAGCAGGCTTGATCTCGGGCAAAGCTGGGCGCTTAGCATCTGTGAGAAAGTTGTTAAAGAATGCCACCTCCTTCTTCACCTCCTCAATCTTCTCTGCGTGCTTATTGAAGATATGTTTGCGCACAAACTCAGGGCCCTGGGTGGGAAGGACCAGAAGAGGGCAGCACATGCTGCAGTCCCGTTCCTCCAGAACCGCGTGGGCAGTCACAGCCTCCTCCAGTCCTCTGAGGGGTCTTGCTGCCCCAAGGCCACCTCCCAATCCCCCCACCAATTCTTTTCACATCCCAGACCTTGAATTTCTTGCCACTGAGAGGACAGAGCCACTTATCCTTGCCCAGTTCCTGCGTGTTGGAGGTGACAAATTTCTCCACTTCCTGTTCGGGGTCCTTACGCCCCATCTTCTGGGCCTCTTCTTCAGAAAGCGATTCCCGCACACTCAGCAGCGGAGTCAGTTTCTCCTCAAACGTCTTCTGCCACTCCAGCACTGTGGAACGGACGACAGAGCAGGCTGAGAGCGAGCTGGAGGCAGGGGTGAGGAGGGACAGGAGAAGACGGGGGACAAGACAAGATTCAGGGGACCTGCAGTGTACCTTCTCCGTGACTGATCCGGTTGGGAGGCATGGGCCCCCGAACGTGGATTATGCCGCAGCGGTTGGGCATCTCGTCTTCGTTGGGGTACTCACAAGTGTTGTAATAATCCAGAGAGTGCACAATCCGCAAATACAGCAGGAGCTTATCTAAGACCTGAGGGAGTGAGACATACCAGGTCACTACGCAGCCTGCACCCCCAGGCCCACACCACCCAAGATGGGCGCAGCTGGCACCTTGATCAGCTTTTCATCCCTCTCCACATTGATCTCTGCTGGGTTGCCTTCCTTGGGAGGCTCCTCAGGAGGGGGCCCTCCACTGCTCCCCAGAAGCTCCTCCTCTTCCGCACTCACTTCCTCAATCAGGTAGTCAGTGATGTTCTTTAGGATGGGGTTTTGCGAGGGCAGGCTCTAACAGGAATGGGATGGACAGTGAGGCAGAGACGATGGGAAGAGGGAAGCGCTTTCTACTGCTTGCCACTATGTAGGCCCTTCCTGCCCAGCCCAGGAATGACTTAAAATGGGGAGATACCACCCAAAGGGGCAAATAAGGGAAGTTCTGTGTAGGATCCAGACAGAGGTCATGAAAATAAGAAAATGAGGTCAGAGGGCAGGTCAGGGGGATAGTGAGTTCTCCCAATTGATTGTTCAGTTACACATTCAACTCCTGTTCTACACTTTACCCCCTCCTGACTTCTCAACTTAAGATACACTAAGGAGCTGTTGGATGCACTGGAAACAATCCCTGGGAGTCACCTACTGTGGGCACAGGTGGTGTCCCAGGCTCAGAGGCCCAGAGCTGGGTCCTGTCATCCAATGTGTGGATCAGCTTGGCTGCCAGCTTGATGTCATTGCGCACTATCTGCTTGTGCTGTGTGATACCATTAATGTTGCGGACACGACGGGTCAGGTCTCTGTTCACACCAGGACTCAATTCACACTCACGGAGCTGTAGGGACACAACAAGCTGGCCAATGACTGCCCCAGAAGCTATACCCTCGAGACTGGGCCCTATAGAGAACTGGTAGTTAAATCCAAACTCCCCAAGGGTCAGGGACCAGAGGGACTGAACAGACAGAAGGGAAACACTCGTGGCTGCGAGTGGACAGGCAGAGCCTGCGCTGCTTCCTGCAGCCCCGTGCCCAGCACTTACGCGGATGTTCTGCAGGTTCCAACAGATCTCCTTAATATTAACGCTGCGATCAAAAGTCACCCAGCCACGGCGGAAAAACCTACATGAGAAAGCTTGTTAGCAGAGCCTGTTAGCATGGTCCTGGGATGGAGCCAGTGGGACTGCTCATCACTGTCCAGCTCACCTCCTCTCGGGCTGGGGCTCCGACAGCGCCACTCGCATGAAGCCTGGGTACCGCTTACAGAGCTGCAGGAGTCAAGGACAGAGAGAAGAGTTCACGCCTTTCAGCTCCGCACTTTCAGAACCCTAAAGTACCCATCATCCCCAACACCCAAAACCACAAGGCAGACCAAACCAGGTGTCCCTAAGCCAAAGGCAGCCTGCCACCTGAAGAATCTGAACCTCAACCAACCCTGTCCCCAAGACCAATGTCCCCACTCACAGAAATGATCTCTGCCCTCGAAATGTTGGGGGCAATGTTGCGCATGAAGAGAGAGCAAGTCTTGTGCAGGGGCCGGGGCTTACACTCCAGCCCTGCAGCATCCTTGGGCTTCTCCCTCTCTTCTTCCTTGGGCTTCTCCTTTTCTTTAAGTGCTTCTTCTACGTAGGAAGAAGTAGGAATTAATACAACTTTATTCACTTGGGTGGAGTGGCAGTTACTACCAGACATCACCTCACAGGACACCTTCCCGCCAGTCAGACTATCTGTCTCTGGAGCATGTTCTCGCTGCTCTCTGTGTCTCTCTCCACCAGCCCATGCAGTAAAGCAAAGGAGCAGAAACAACAGTGAAGCGTACCGGTCTCCTCTTTCTCCTCCTCAGCTGGACCACTCTCAGACTCGGACTCAGATTCGGACACACTGCCCTCATCAAAGCTGTCATCGCCACTCTGCTTCCTGTTCCGCTTCTTGCTCTGGGAAACAACAGGAGCAAGCCAATCAAGACCACCCAAGATCCGGTCTGACACCTTGTCTCATGCAAGACACACCTTACCTTCTTGGGTTCCTTCTCAGCCTCTTCTTTCTTCTCCTCCTTGTCCACGTCACCCTCAGATTTCTTAGTTTTGTCATCATTAGGACTGTCATTTTCCGGCTACAGGAAGAGACAATTTCTGAGAATGTCAATCTTTTCCTCTGGCCGCATCAGAGCCACCCCTACCATCCCGCAGTGGAGGTTACAGCTCCCTCAGCCCCCGGCTCTTGACCTGTTTTCCATCTTCTTTCTTCTCATCCTTATCGTTGACCTTGCGCTCTCCATCCCCCGGGACTGGTCCAGCACGGCCTTCCTCTTTCTTGTTGGCCTCCCCAGCCTTGCCTGCCTGTTCTTCCTCTTCCTCCTGCTCCAGGATTCGGAGGTCATTCTCCGTGCCACCTTCCATCTTAATGACAGCTACCAACGACAACAGCAGAGGTCGTAACTAGAACTCCAGCTTCTATTCCCAGCCAAGACCTCCCCAGCCTCTAAGCCCACACCTGCATCTAACATCTTCACAATGGCATCAGCTTTGTCTATGTCCAAGAGAAGGTTGTCAAACCAGCCACTCTCCA